TAACCCATCCCCCCACCCCCTCCCCTCTAGAACCCTCAGTTTGTTTCTCAGAGTCCATAGTCTCTCATGGTTCGTCTCCCCCTCCGATTCCCCCCCTTCCTACTATCTTCTTCTTTTTTTTTTTTTTTTCATTTGTAGCTTTGAGAGTTAAACCTGTAGCAAATTACTTTATAGCTTTCTTTTTATTTTTTGTATTTTGGTTCACTTATAAATTTTGGGGGATAAGCAATGTATCTGTGAGAGAATGTTGCATAATTTTTATTATTCATATTGGTTCTTTTTGTCCATAAAGTATTTTGCACAGTACCTTATGTATACTAGGCCATCAAAAAAATTTGTGTGCAATTCAAAGAGGGGAAATTTTATGAAGATGTTAGATATATTTATCTTTGCTCCACTTGAGATCTACTGCCTTGTATAATTTGAATTATTCATCTTCAGAAATACATTTTTACCTTTTTAAAGTCATGATCTTTTTCCAAACTATTAAAAATTTTAAAGCTGTACTTTAGCTTATTTTGTTTGTGTATATAATTTATTTTTGCCTTATAGGATGTGTATTTTTTTTCCTTTGGATGAGAGAGCACTTTTTTGTTTAAAACAACAGTAGTAGCAACAAAAACTAAACCCAAACCAAAAAATTACAATAGAAGAGACTTTTTTCAAAGGGACCTCTCCTGTACCTTGAGCTGTCCTTTAATTCCAAGGTATATTGGAAAATTTAGATTTAGTGAATTTTGAGTCTTTCTTTTCCTTCTACACATTAGTCATTATTTTTCAGTGGTAATATTGATCCTTTGAGTGGAAATGTTAACTATTCCTTTCTTTACAATGAGATCATAATTAGGAACATGTGCTATTATACTGCAAGTCATGCTAGTATATTTACCTGGTGGCACAATAAACTGTTTATGTTTTATGTTGAGTGAATACAAATAATTTCATACAGTTATGGACCATTGAGACCCTATGCAGCTGATTCTAGAATCTTCTAACTGAGCTATGGTACAAACACTAGTTAGTGGAAGTTACATACCAATTTTTTTTTCTTTTGTGTTTATGTGTGAGAGTAAGCTGAGGAGGAGGTAGAATTGAAAAAAAGCAAGGCAAAATTAAGCATTTACTCTCAAATTTTAAATTACTGAGTAAACTGCTTTTTACAGTTATCCTGTTATGTACAGATCTCCTGTCATCCCCCAGATATCATTAAAAGTTCAAAATTTCTGAACCATGCCTGCTCTGGTTTGGCCATGTAACAGTTGCCCATAAGTTATTCTCTTTGACTGCACATATCATTGTGTTTTTTGCCTCCTTCTTTGGATTTCCACACCACATACATTGTGTGTGTGTGTGTGTGTGTGTGTGTGTGTGTCTGCATGTACGTACACGTGCACCCTCATTGTTCATTCCTAGCTTTGGATCATTTCTTTGTTTATTTAAAAGTAGTGAATACATCTCAAACTTCTCTACTAAATAGTAATATCTTTCAAATATAGTAAATTTAAAAACTAAATTTTATATATAATTTATGTGATATGAGGTACCATCTAGTAGATTCACGTAGAGACAATATCAGAAGATAGTTGTTCAGGAAAAAACTTGATGGAAACAAAAACATATTTAGAAAATGCTGTTTATTAACATTTATTCTCCTGCAAATTGGGAAAATATTACTACATTTTAGTAGCATTTGGTTCAGCTTTTGGAATAGCGGGGACTATGAATATTCTCCATATAGTGGCTCAAAATGGTATGAGTGCTTAAGAAATACTATTTGTTGATATATGTATATATCATATATATTTAATGAAATGTAAAAGCATGTATATAAATGTCAATGTAAAATCTCCTTTATAAGGATGCTTGCTGAGCTTGTTAGTTTACTTTAGATTACATAACCAACCTCAGTGAGAAATCTTCACTGGACCTGTGCCAAGGAAGGAAAAGAACCTTCATGGATGTTTGTCTTCCTTCTCCTTCTTTAAACATTGTTTTTTTCTTTTTCATTATCCAGGTTTGAAACGCCTCCTACCCTCTTATTTTCCTTGGATGGCTTCAGGGCAGAATATTTACACACCTGGAGTGGCCTTCTTCCTGTTATTAGCAAACTAAGTGAGTAACTTCAGAGTTCTCTGTTGGGGGTGTCACCATTTTGGTGAGATAGACTAGGGATGCTGGCTTTTTTTGGAAAAATACCGGCAGAATGTGTTTTACCAAACATCACTACTGCGAAATAGTTGAACCTGATGATAAGGAATTAGTCTCCAATATTATAATTACTTTGAAGCTGCCTTTTAAATACTTCTAAGATAATACAGTTTATATATTTTTTTTCTTAGAATTTTGGATTCCTTTTGTGGAAAAACCATTTATTTAATATTTATCACATCTTAAGATAGAATTTTCAAAATGAAAGTATTTCTGATATGATTCTAGTAGTGTGGACATTGAATATTTCCAGTTATCCTATAGTATCATATAGTATCCTTCCAATTTCTTTGCCTCATACAAAGGGCTTAATGGAATGATTATTCATTAAGTTATCGATGTAATAGTAGAATGGTCTTAATATTAATGCTGAGGTTTTAAATCACATTAACCCCCAGTTATGGGTATCACTTGTATCATCATTTTTATTGAGAAAGGAAAAAAATTGTATATGGGTATAAAAATTGTAGAACTTTGCACATTATCAGTGATCAATAGTTAAGTAGTTACAGTGTAATACAAGGCTGAAATAGAAGTAAATACAATGATTTTAGTGTTCTGGAATTCTAAAATATTATTTACTAGACTTGAGTATATGAGATTAGTTTAAACATTAAAATCATTCTCAGTAAATACATGTGTGCATTTATTTTACTTCTTTTATGAGAAACCTAAAGTATTTTGGGAAAACGTTTTAAAATTTCTGTGTTTAATTTCTACCTAGAAGAAAATAATTTTTATACATAATCATTGACATGGAAAAAAAGTCTTCAGCAAAAAGCAGGCATCGTCAAGGAAGGCTCTGTTCTTACCAGTTCGGCCCATGGGCTTTGAAGCTTAAATCTGGCCCTTCGTGACCATTAGGAGGGAAGTTTGTTTCCATAGCACCAAATATGCATCCTGAGTTCAGAATTAAGGAGTTGTGGATACTATATGTGAAGTTTAAAAGAAATCAGCACACAATTAGCCTAAGCCCCAGCTGTGGATAATTGGGGGACATACTTTGTAGCTCTGCACTGTTTGGAAGGCATTGAGATAGATAGACGCTTGCCAATTGGAGGAACGTTTTCAGCAGCGATGTACTGAAATGCTTGATTCATTAGTTTATGTAGTTTTTTCCTCAATAGTAGAGACAGGAGAAAAGGAGCATGATATCAAGGCTAAATCCGGAGCAGTCTGACTTCTGTGCTTTCTCTGGCATGAAGCCAGACGATGCCTTTTATCTTTAGAGACGTGTTGAGTTTGTCCAGAGTTAGCTGGTTCTGGATTTTCACACTGGGACACTGTCCCCCACCCCAGCTACTGCTTCACCCTTGTTTTAATTTTGCAGATTTTGCTACCAATGCAGTTTGTTTTTGTTTGTTTTTTAACTACCTCTTAAAACTTAGGTATGTGACCACTAAGTAATATCAGACAAAGATCTAGTAGGCATCATTATTACACATGGTCCATCTGGAACTTCATGTTATTGATAAGCATGGGATAATTCTTTCATTGGCTTAATTATCTTGTTTAATATTTTTCTGAGAAAAATTAACTTATCTTAACATTGAATTGAATCTATAGTGTTGCTTTATAATTAACCCTAAAGTTTTATATGGTTTTAATACTATTTAGACTTATTTACTAGCAAAGCTAGATGAAGTAAACAGATTGTCAATTGCATTTAATAGCAATCTTTAATTTTTTTTCCCTTGTAGAAAACTGTGGAACGCACACCAAAAACATGAGACCAGTGTATCCAACAAAAACTTTTCCCAATCACTACAGCATTGTCACTGTAAGCTCCAAGTTTCAACTTTTATATGTTGTTCACAGAAGTGAGATGTAAATGTTACATTTTTTGAGGGAATAATTAGACATCAGATCAGAAAAAAATAACTTCTTTTCCAGTATATAATTAAGCAAGGAAACCTAGCCAAATCTGCACTTTGGGGAAGGTCACTTTACCTTCTGGCCTCAATTTTTCCATCTTGAAAAGAGACTATAAAGACTCCAACTAATGATTTCTTGGTTTCCTTTCGGTTTTAAGATTTCTCCAATTTTTGTGTCTTGTTTCTTCTTATAGTTTTGTAGCTTGCTGTATTTGTAAAATTTGTCCTACACTCATGGGTTCTCAACTTGTCTTTCCAATCATCTTGATGTATGAGTTTAAGCAATCCGTTTTGCCTGACTCTAGAGAGGATTACAGGCCTGTTTTTGTTTCAAAGTTTCCCAGTTTAATTGGAATCCAGAAAAAAAGTCAAATTCATTAGGCATTAGGGTTGAAGCCAGAAAATTAATTCTTTAGCTTGTAGTAATACGAGCTATTCTCAGACTCAACTAAAACAAAATTTGTTCTACAGAAATGCTTTACTCAGCAATGCAAAAGGAAAATACAACACTTTTTTAAAAATTGGGGAGGCTGTAGGGGTGCCAGGGTGGCTCAGTTGGTTAAGCATTCGACTCTTAATTTCGGCCCAGGTCATGATCTCAGGGTTGTGAGATCTGGCCCTTGTCAGACTCTGTGCTCAGCGTGGAGTCTGCCTGTCCCTCTCCCTCTGCTCTTAGCCCCGCTTGCACTCTGTCTCTCTCAAATAAATAAGTACATAAAAATAAAATCTTTAAAAAAATTGGAGGGGCTGTCATTTATATAGACCCTCATCCATACGATTCCTCACTTATTTTCTCCTGTTACATAATTTAAAACACAAATACTATATAAGATCTTGAGTGGTTGGTTGTGTTTTGACAATCCCATTGTTTTGTTCTTCTCTCCTTAAACTATGTTAAGTTTCTTGTAGCTTCAGTTACCTGTTTTTCTTCGATGATTTTGTTCTTTGACTTTTACATTGAAAACTCACAACTTGCATAAAACCTGTTTTTGTCTTTTTTAGGGACTTTATCCAGAATCCCATGGCATAATTGACAATAAAATGTATGATCCCAAAATGAACGCTTTCTTTGCACTTAAAAGTAAGGAGAAATTTAATCCTGAGTGGTACAGAGGAGAACCAGTGAGTTGTTTGTTTGTTTGTTTGTTTGTTTGTTTTAGCTACTAAAATAGTTTTTTTTTTTTTAATTCTCATCTATTTCAATTAGAGTAAAATAACAGATTCCCTGGAGCTTTTAATAACCTACGTCATTGATCTTGTCCGTGGCCATCCTTTTGTAGATGGAGATGAATGCTGATAATCCTAAATACAGCTTGTATCATTGTGTAATGGGAGTAGTTTTATTTCATAGCTGCGTTGGGGAAATTCTGAATCATTTTTCTTTTCTGCTTGATTCTACCTTTTTGTACTAGTAGTTTATAGCAGTGGTCTGGGGCCATATTTTGATCCACACAAAACTAACTGTTTCTAAAGGAGGTCAACTTTGATTTCATTTGTATATGCTAACTTAGAAGGTTCTTTCTGGCCATGATTTAGATGTGTTCTTTGTATTTTTTAAAAAATTGCCACAAAAATTCTGTGGGGTCTTTTTGGATAGTCTCGATATTCCTCTAAGAAGGAAAAAGAGCATGATGTTTAATTTGCAGGGTATAAATTCAAATTTCTTGCTGATATTTAAAATGATGTGACTTTGGGCAAATTATTCTTTCTGTGTCTCAGTTTTCTCAGATTTATACTGTAGATGATATCATTAACTACCTCGGGGTGTGATTCTGAGGATTAGCCAAATTAATAATTGGGATGCTTATGGAGATACTATTTAGAATTGTAACTGGCAGTAAGTACTTGTAAATGTTAGTTACATAACAAAAATGTCAACAAATTACATACATGTATGCTTGGGAATATTTTCTTCTTTCAAGGGGAGCCCATTAAGTAAGGCTGGGGCTCTGAAAGTTGCAGAGGTTGCCAACTGATGGTGTCTATATTTTTTAGGTTACTTTAATCTCTGATCATTTCATTTTGCTGCTGAGTCCTACTAAGTGATTATTTTATAGTCTCACTGCTGAAGCTCCTTAACCTCAAAAACACTGTAACACTGGAGAGGAGTGCATTGATGTCGCATGAACACGTACTTTCCTAACATGCACAGTTGTACATTTCTGACTTGCCTTCATTCTCTTCCCCAGATTTGGCTCACTGCTAAACATCAAGGCCTGAAAAGTGGTACATTTTTTTGGCCAGGATCAGATGTGGCAATTAATGGAATTCTCCCAGACATCTATAAAATGTATAATAGGTATGTATAGGTGTACTTTTTTCAGAACAGCTAATCTGTTTTAAATCTCAGCTTCTCCTTTTTATCAAGTCCCAAGTTCCAGCATTTCTGTGATGTGTTGGCTGAAAAATGAGAACAGTCAGAAAAAGAACTCTACCTTTTAGATGGAGGGTAAATAAGTTTTGGGTAGTTGGATGGACGGTAAAAGTAGACAAAGTTTTTTTCTCGAAGTTTTGTAGAAAGCGCTGGTAACATGTTGGAATTTGCATTCAGAATCTTTGGGCAGGAATAAAAAATGAAGTTGTGGGGACTGACTCCAACTTTTATTTAAGAGTCACGAGTGAGTGAGCTGTCCATGAGGTACCCTTTGTAGAATGTATTGACACATGGGTTATTCACCTGGTAACAATCACTGTTCTCAGATACAGGAATAATATCCTCAAGTAGATATAAGAAGCAAATTTTTATTTTTATTTATTTGAGAGAGAGAATGTGTGAGTGGGGCGAGGTGCAAAGGGAGAGGGAGAGAGAGAATCTCAAGTAGACTCCTCACCGAGTGGGGAGCCCAACACAGGGCTTGATCTCACGACCTTGAGATCACAACCTGAGCCAAAATCAAGAGTCACATGATTAACAGGCTGCCCCACCTAGGCGCCCCAAGAAGCAAATTTTTAAACCCAGTTACAGGTTTCATATGTGTAAAGCTTAACCTTTGTTCTTTTATTGGGGAAACAAATTTGAGTTTTCAAATTAAACTTTTGCATTGTTTTAAACACAATTAATGCATGGGATTGTTTGAGTCTTTCACTGCTATTTTGGGTAAGAAAAACACTGATATTTTAAACTCGGATAATTGTCACAAATTGTTTCATTTTGCTTATTCTTAATTTTAGTTCAATACCATTTGAAGAAAGGATTTTAGCTGTTCTTAAGTGGTTGCAGCTTCCTAAAGATGAAAGGTATGTAAAGGCCTAATTTCTATGGTAAATACTCATTCATTTTATAGAAATTACACAATATTTTAAAATGAGCTGCAAGAAACTTGGCAATTGGCTCTGGCCTTTTATATCCAAATGAACTCTTTTTATGGAACATTTTGAAGAATTCCAAACCTGTAAATTATTTCTCAGCAAGTTTAGAAATGTTACCCCAGTGTTGTAGACTTTTTAATCACTATCGATTATTAAATTATTCTTTCCATTCTGTTTTACAATGTGTTTATAAAATATTACATTTTGATGCTGTTTGATTTAGACCACACTTTTACACTCTGTATTTAGAAGAACCAGATTCTTCAGGTCATTTGTATGGACCAGTCAGCAGTGAAGTAAGTACCTTTTTATCAGTGATTACTTCTAACTAAACCTTGCTTTGAAGCAGGTTTCTAGACCACTCTCTAAGATTCCAGGATTTGGAATGAGTAGTAAGCACAGTTTTACTAAACCAAAGGATGCGCTTTCGTAAAAATAACAGTAGGGAGAATTTGTCTTGTCTGTACTTTCCACGGTGCTAAATCGAACTGATGGTAAATTCTATATTCTCAATTCCAAAGCCTTTATCCACTCCATTTCTCCCTACATTGACCTAAAAACTAAGGGCTCTTTGGAAATGTTGCAAATGGGTAAGACTCCAGTTTTCTATGTAAATATAGGAGAATTAGCACAAGAAGCCTCCCATGACCTTTCCACCCTAGGAGATATATCTCTGATCTCTGAGCTCAGGCTCACAACAGAGCTCGGGCATCAAAAAATAGGAAATTTTGTCAGAATTATAGAGAATTTGAAATAACTCTGGTTTTATTGAGCAGTTACTAGTAAGCTAGAGATGGGGAAACAGCTCACGGACTAAGGCTGTCAGTGTAAGGTCTTACTTGACCTGACACTCTTTCAGGAACTTAGCTCACTCCTGGCTATGTTTGTAATCGGTATAGTGCTTTAAAAGATCAAATACTGCTTTCAGTTTTTGTGTGGCCATATAATTTTTGTATCTTGGAGCAGAGGAAGCATTAGAACAGAAAACAATTTGAGCTTCTTTCTTTGTACCTCTAAGCTGACTTCCCTTATGATGTCTGTTTAATCTGTGACCCTAGATCTGAAAAGAAACAAGAAGTAAGGATCTGTGAATATTGTTGGTCATGACGAAAGGAGAATCAGTATAGCCAGCATCCCTAATCTCAGAATCTTTGTTATATTTTTCCCCATGTGACTCCAAGAGATAAAAGACTAGGAATAGCTAGAATTTCACCTTCAAGCTGGATAGTTTGTGAGCCTCAAAGACTCTTTAGCACAGAGTCTAGACCAGAGCCTATCCTAAGGTGTCTGTTGTGAGCTCCAGTTTGAGAGTGCTTCTTGCTCTAAATGCTTGCTTCAGCAACAGCAGAATGAGGGGAGAACATAGGCTCATTTTTTCACTTGAATTTAAAACACCTGCCTAAACCATCTTCTCCTGGTTTCCCTTACCCTGGGTTTACTCCAGATTTGCCCCTCTTAGAGCATAGGTTCCTCTTAGGCGCCATCTTGTCAGCTAAAAGCGAGCAGAGAGAGAGGGAAGTTAACCCTCAGTCTAGGTCTGTATTTACTCTTTGATTTTTTTCAATCAAAATCCATCTGCAGCAGCTCTAATGTAGTTAGTGATTCCATGTGCCCTTGCTTGGCTTCTGTCCTTCAGCTAAGCACAAGTGCTCCTTAGAGGGGCAGGAAGGAGGACACATGGTGGACAACGCAACCATGCCATCATTGGTGAAAGAGAAAAGCTTCTTGTCAGTGTTGTGTTGGTTTGACAGTTGGCCAGATGCTAGGGTAATTTTTATTCGTTCACTAAATTCCCCGACACTTAAGACTCCTGTCCAGGTCAGTTTGGCTACAAGGAAGTCTAAGGCTCATTTGGTAATTATTAGATTATCAGATCATATGAATTGTAAAGTCAGTGCTTTTCTAATTTCACTGAAGATTTGCCAAAGTACTACTTTGCTGATTCATCTGCATTCAAGATTGAGCCCATTGCTTTTCATATCATATTCACCAACTTGTAACCTCTGTTAAATTCTAATATTACTGCCACATCGAAACCCACTTTAATACTTAAAAATTCCAATTCGAATTACTTGGGTAGCTTTGAGTGAATGAAAGACCATATTGAGGGACTTTGTTTCATATTACAGTGAAATTCATTGACCATAGAGATAAGACTGATTTGATACATAACAGAAAGCACATGTAGAATTGCAAAGAATTTTCCTCAGGTGGTTTTGCAAGGAGAGCTGAAAAGAGAAATGTCAAAAGCAAGTTGCTAAAACCATTTGCTCTTTTGTGTCCTTGTGATATATCATATCACATGCAGTTTGTAAGGAAATACATGCAGTTTGTAAGGAAATAATGGGTTGTATTCCTAGTTCTAATCTTAAAAATCAAATACAAGAACTCTAAAAAGCATTTCATGAATAATTTTAACATTTTTAACAGTTTAGACAATCAGATCAGCTGGTGTCATTCCCAGTACTTATAATTGAGCACATATGTATGGGATTTGGACCCTTCTTTTATTAATGGGCATTGTTTTACCTGCCCTGTCTTAGCCTAATGTCAATCAGTTCATCATAGTAGTTGCATCCACTGAACTTTCCTTGTATTCACAGAGATAGCTTTGTATAGAAATAGCCATTAGTATGGAATCCATCACATGAAATCGCTTCCCTTTCATAGGTCATCAGAGCATTGCAGAGGGTTGACAACATGGTTGGCATGCTGATGGATGGTCTAAAGGAGCTGAACTTGCATCGATGCCTGAATCTTATCCTTATTTCAGATCATGGTAATCTGACTCTGCATCATTTACCCTTCAGGTTAAATGGTGCTCCCAAAAAAGTTTCCTTGCTTGGTTATTGTTTCATTATTTCTTCTGATTGTTATAGTTAATTTTTTTAATGTAGTTTCTTGTGGAAAGTTTTTAGGAAAAAATTATATTAAACATAAAGTACAAATAAAATACAGAATTCACAGAAACCTAAGAGCCTATCAGTGACAATGTACCCATCTCCTGATTTGGGGAAGGTTTATACCAGGAATTTTAAATAGTTACTTACTTTGACCTTTAGAACATGTTTGTGTAACAGCCTTGGGAGTACAGAAGCAATGAGTGCATAAGAAAATAGAAAACAAGTTCTTTTTGTTTGTTTTTCTTGTTGTTATTGTTTGCTTCAGAAATAATTACTAAAAGCTATTTCTAGAAATGGTTGTAAGAAGTTCTGTTCCAAAGAAGCTACAGTTCTGGAATGAGACTGAGAATTTTATGCTACCATTCGTATTCTAGGTGATCTGGGGAAAATGAGTAGGCTTTTATATTCAGTCTGAAACTGTGATATTCCTCCTCACATAAAGATACTGTAATAAATATATAAGAAGAAATATTAAACTAATTGTGGATGAAGGAAGGGAAAAAGTTGGTTTTCTTTGGAAGTGAAGGGGTATAAATAGTTGAAATTTTGTGTCTTACCTATTAGATGCTTAACTAACGTGCGCACTGAGCACATAGTTATTGAATTAAATTCTGGAGGTGAAAGAGATTCTCTTCTATACGTTAAATTCCTTATTAAAGTTGCAACATGTTTGGGAATTTTTTTCTCCCAGGCATGGAACAAGGCAGTTGCAAGAAATATGTATATCTGAATAAATATTTGGGAGATGTTAAAGATATTAAAATTATATATGGACCTGCAGCTCGATTGAGACCCTCTGATGTCCCAGATAAGTACTTTTCATGTAAGTATATATGATGCTAATTTTGAATATGATTACATCCAGAATACATTCCTCTAACTTATTCTATCTCTACACTAAAGTGCATCAATTAGAGTTAATTTCCTTTTCATGCTTAATTTTCCAATGCAGATCTTCTGCACCCAAAGGGATTTTATAAAAGGCACTGGGTGTGAGGACACAGGTCTAACCACTTATCTCTGTTATTGATTGCTAAGCATATTATTTGATGAGCTTAGTACAATTTTATGTTGTAGTGTGTGTTTTACTTGTGTTAGATTCGAGATTACTTGTACTAAAAAAAAACCCCGAAAAGTTCAGCTATATGTATTCAAGTTTAATTAATGACATTCCATTAAAATAGCTTAGAGCTGTTATAGGATAATATTCTATTATGAGGAGGAATGTTGGCAATTCTGTAGTTCTTAAAATTCTATAAACAACTGGTTTCTGTCCTCAGAAATGACTTTCCTTGACCATTCCAAAACACAGTAAGAGTGTGTTTTGTAAACAGAGAAGAAGAAATTTCACATTCTGTCTTGACTACATGTGGAACCCCAACTGCCAAGAAATTTTTTAAAATATTAATTCTTTTGGGGCGCCTGGGTGGCTCAGTCATTAAGCGTCTGCCTTCGGCTCAAGTCATGATCCCAGGGTCCTGGGATCCAGCCCTGCATCAGGCTCCCTGCTCAGTGGGAAGCCTGCTTCTCCCTCTCCCACTCCCCCGCTTGTGTTCCTGTTCTCGCTAACTCTCTCTCTCTGTCAAATAAATA